GAGATTTTAAGAAGGCAATCATACGAGGTTTCTAGTAGTCATAATTTGTTCCATCCATAATGGGTGGTCTGTTTCCAAAAACTCCTTCTTTGTCCATAGTGCCAGAAAGTGATATCCCTAGATCTCACCCAGTAATACAGGCAGGGTGCCTGCTCTGATGCCAATTGAAATTCTGACTGCAGATACTCAATGTCACGTTCAATGTTATGACACCGTATCTGACTTTCTATAAGACAGTAAATACAAAAACAGTAAAGAACACAGTCAATTGTTTATCCAGTTCAGTGTGCAACAACACCTACTCTGGGGGCTACCAAGCCAGGGAGGAAATCCACTATAAGAGATATTAATTCAGGAATAAACCAACCAGTTTATCTCCTTCACTTAAGACCTACCCAATGCAACTTCAATCTAAGTACAACTTAAACCTGAGTTCATACTCACTCCCCCTCAATCACAGCAGTGATACTTAAAACAATTGACTAATGATTTAATGAAGACACTCTTCAAAACATACACTTGATTATGCTTCACAGCTTTTTAATCAAGCAACACAAACACTCTTGCTTCACAGCTTTGAGTGATACATAAACCTAACTTGACTTTGCTTCAAAGCTTTAGTCAAGAGACACAAAACACTCTTGCTTCAAAGCTTTGAGTGATACAAAACCCTTACAATTAAAACCTATTCCAAGTCACTTATCACAATGATACTTGCTTGGATTACAATAGTTAAAACTATACAGCTCCTAAATGATCTTCTGTCAAAAGGATGAATTCCAAACAGCAGTCCTGTTGAATATATAGCAGCTGTTTCTTCAGTTAGGGTTTCCACAAAAAGCTAGGGTTATTTCCGTTTGACCTTAAGACTTGGTCACAAGACTTTATCAACCAGGTTAAGGTTGAGCTAGGTTAACCCAAAGTCCACGTGAGATTCTGTTCTGGAAAGAATGAGTCATCTTCTTGAAAAATCTCAGAATTAACCAAACTGCATAACTGTTAGATCAGTACAGGATGTCTTAACATTTGTTATGACATCTGAATTCCTATTTACTGATTTTGGTAAATGTAATCATTTTGCAAAATGCTCAGATACACACTCATAAACATCAGTACCTGTATGCCACTATTTTTCTGCAAAGGTACCTAATAAACCAGTACCTAATAAATCAGAATGTTATGACATTAGTCATGACATTCACACACACCTGGTTTTACCAAAAATGCATGACAATAACTAAACACCTACACTATATATAAATTAAATATATTAAATATTTAATAAACTTAAAAAAAAGTAATTTTTATATATAATATAAAAGAAAGGGAGGATAAATTTTGAAAGTTGATGATGCTACCATACTATTATTAATGTTATAATTATTCATTCATTATAAAATGTCCTCATGACGTTGCTAATATAATATTTTCATTCTATATTTGTAGGCCCTTCCCAAAAGCTTTGTGATTGCATGGCTAGAATATCTTGTCTTTTAGCAAAGGGACGGTTTTTTTATTTTAATAAATTTAAAAAGAAAATCTTTATTTTTATTTATTTGGAAAAAAAATTAAATTTTTTTTATATTATAATCAATAAATTAATATTTTTTAAGATTAAAATAATTTCACGTGAGAATTGAGACTATGAATATAACACTAATATTCTCAAATTAATAAAACATATTTTTAAAAGACAAATTCATGACGATTCTCACATTTAAATTAAATAATATTTTATAATCGCAATAGCATGAATTTGATATCAACTAAAACATTGATAAATAGAAAAAGAGAATGGTCGCACTCTATCCTAATTTCACGAAAGTTTATATATAACATCCAATTAACTTCTTTTATTTTACTATTTGAGTATGAATTAGTCTCCATCCATAAGAACATATGTCGATTTTATGTTTTGAAGCTTAGTATTTTTATTATTGGAGTATAAATATGTGGTGTGTTGTTTAAATTTTTGTGTAAATTATTTCACGAAATAATATAAAAAATGTGTTACTTATTATTAAATAATTAGATTAAGATCTGTGATGCGTAACCGTAAATTAACTTGTTTATTTTATTGAATTTTAAATATATTAAGAGTTTATTTTAATAAAATATAATTACTAAATTCATATGTTATTTTTTTTTTTTGAGAATTATAACAAGGACAATAATATAAATCAATCACATATATAAATATATATTTTATTTGAAAAGAAAATAATGCTTGTAAATTGATAATGATATCCGTAATTTAAGTTTGCAAACATTCATATCTATAAAAAGATTTTTTCTGTTTTCTTTTGATTCTCATGTTTTTTTGTTGCACTTATCTTTTATTTAAATATTTTCCTTTACTTTGTTAAATATATGTATTCATTTTTAGTTTTAAATAAAATTAAAAGTTTATTTGTAATTATTATCATATAAAATTTTCAATAACTTTATAAATTTATATCTATTTTGTCGAACTTTATAATATTGTTGCTTACTATATTATTTTTTAAGATCAATTTAAAGTGATTTATATTTGAAAATTATGTAAGAACTACTTTAAGATTAAAAATATTTATTTCAAGTGTTATTTTTATTACTTTAATTTCACGAAAACAAAAAAGATATTTTATTGTGTTTGGATTTTGACATCTCTTTTTATTTTTGAAATATGAGAGAATATTCTTAATATAAGAGAATATTCTTAATATAAGAGAATATACATAGTTGTAGTATGATTGGTTAGTTAGACCAATTTGTTCAAAGTAAGATTAAAAACATTTTATTATGTTTGAATTCTCTTATCTCTTTTATGTAGTATTTTTTTATTTGTTATTAGTTTATTATTTGATATTATATACAAAATATAATAGTAAAATATATAGACACCGTAAAAAATTGTTGTATACTATTATATTTTAAATAAATTTAAAGTAATTTATAGTTGAAAATTATGTAAGAACTACCTTAAGATTAAAAATATTTATTTCAAGTATTATTTTTATTGTTATAATTTTAGAAAAACAAAAAATATTTTATTGTATTTGAATTTCCACGTCTCTTTTATACTTGAAATATTTTTTTACAATTATATTTTATTTAGATATCTTACTTTAATTTGTTAAATATATGTATCTATTTTTAGTGTTAAATAAAATAAAAAATTGATTTATAATTATTATCAAATAAAACTTTTAATAAATTTATAAAATTTATGTCTATTTTGTCGAACTTTATAAAATTGTTGCATACTATATTATTTTTTAAGATCAATTTAAAGTGACTTATATTTGAAAATTGTGTAAGAACTACTTTAAAATTAAAAACATTTATTTCAACTATCTTATTTGCCATTAGTTTATCATTTGATATTATATAAAAAATATAATAATAAAATATACAGACATCGTAAAAAATAATTACATACTATATTATATTTTAAATAAGTTTATATTTAAAATTTATGTAAGAACTACTTTAAGATTAAAAATATTTATTTTTACTTTTATTGCTATAATTTCAGGAAAACGAAAAAATATTATATTATATTTAAATTTCAACATCTCTTTTATATTTGAAATATGAAAGAATATTTTTAATTTAATAGAATATACATAGTTGAATTAATGATTGATTTATTAGATAAATTTGTTCAAAATGATATTTTATTTCAGCGAGGATTCGAACTTATGACCTCTAATTTATAAAAATATATGATGAAAATGAATTTTGAGATCTGACACATAAGACTATTGAATAATGTGACAAATTTAAAATTATACTTTATGATGTGTAAGAATTATAATTAATGATGTGTTGTTATAATATTTGATGCATTTAATTTAATATATTATATAGATATTAATCTTGTTGAACCAAATATATATATATATATATATATATATATTACTTATCAAAATCACTATTAAATTAAAATTTGTTAAAATTATTTAAATATTAATGTGACAATTACTCCACACAAAATAATTCAATCAAAAATCAGATCTCCCATCGGAGATTCTCTAAGGGGCACAACAAATAGGGAATGATCATGGTGTTTCCAAAAAAATAAGACCAATATTTAGACACGACACAACCCATACTAAAACCTCATTGGCTTGTGGATTACAAAAGTATAAAAAGTTGAAAAGCTAAAGAAACATGATGATAGATAGATCATAATTTTAGAACAGGACAAGACATTCCACAAGTCAAAGATGAGCTAAGATTTTGTTGTACGAAAATTAACCAATATAAAAGTTGGTATCTTTTGAACAACTAAACATAAACAACTTTTGAAATATCTTTGATTATTAGCATAGTTTAAATACATGGTTTGATTATATTGATTATATTTGTTACTAACAATTAACTACTAATAATTTATTATTATATATTACATTTCCTTACTTTACAATGAGTGATTCGATTCATCATTTTATTTATATTAAAAAAGTATAAAAAAATAAAAGAGAATAATATTTTTATTATAGTAATTTTAATTATGTATTAAAAATGATGAAAACTTAATTAATAAAAGAGTAGAATTAAAAAGTTGTATTAAAGATTGAAATGAGTAATAAATTTCTTGAAGGAGTAATAAATTTCTTGAAATTAAATTGATCAAATAATATAACTATAATCAATAGTAAAGAGTAGTAAATATTATATGTATTATATGATATAACAATGTTCAAGTCATTTCTCAGATCTTACAATTACAAATAAAGCACTAACTCTTACTACCCTTTCCTCTTAATTCCCTTTTCTTTTATTTGACTACACTACATTACACCTTCACGAAGGATTTGAACTTAGTAGACATAATAAAAAGGAAATATAGAGGAATAAATATTACATCCATTCCTGAATATAAACTCGTTTGCAAAATGCAAACGAGTAATTATAAAAAAAGGGACGGAGATTAAAGCAATGGATGTTGTTGTTGTGGATTAATTAATTCGAAATAGTAGTAAATATTTGTGAGTGATGTTTAGGTTTGTGATTCATGAGGTAGCAATGCAATAAGGTTCCCAAAAGAGAAAAGACCTTCTTGAATCCTTGCAATTCTTCAAATTATGAACCAAATAATCACCATTCTTTCCTTTAAGAACCAAAAGCTGTTGCTTCTCATTTGAAACACGGTTCATGTTCATGTTCTTCATCTCACCTTTTGCAGACACGACAATTTTGTTACATTTGTTGTCGTTGTTGTTGTTGTCGTTGGTGTTGTTTTTCTCTTGGTAACGGTCAAGTGGATAATTACCACCTTTGGTTGATGTTGGATTTGTGGTCCTCCAGTAATGTTGATAAGAATTAAAATTGAATGAAGCAGTTGCTGCATTGGGTGGTGATGGAATCAATCTTGCAACTCTTGGCCTTGGTGGAAGTGATTTTACCATTTGACTAGCTTCCACTACTTGAACATCTTTGTTATCCACTTCATTGTTGAACTTCTTTGACCACTTTGGATTCCTATTCAATAGCCCAATTGTCTTATTCACCTTGGTGTGATGGTTTGATCCAATCCAATGAACACTACTTTTTATAGTAGTTTTCTCAAAAGACATTATTGATCCTTTTCCTATCACACTCTCATATTCCTCATCTTCAACTTCATCTTCTTCGAATCCTTCAAACTCTTCCTCCAACTCACCTACCTCATCATTCTCGCCATTTTCTTCATCTTGATTTGCAAAAGTGAGGACGAGTCTACCATCTTGGCGTTGAACACAGAAGTTGTTCAATGAAGGAAGAGATACAGCTTCTAAAACCAGCCTTCCGTTGTCGCGGTGTGGCCTCATCTGAAGAGAAGGACCGTCTTGGCGAGAGAGTGAAGGAAGCGGTGGAGGGAAGGATCGTGGTGGTGACTTTTTATTAGTACAAGTAACACCACCATAATTGAACCTTTCCACTTCCAACGCTTCCTCTTTGATTTTTTCTTTAACTTCATGTTCTTGTTCTTTCTGGGTCTGAGGTTGTTGTTCTAGTATATCCTCTGTCAACTCTGACAGAGGATAAGATGACAACTTTTCATCAGACTCAGTCTCAGATCCGAGACTCTCAGATGGAGGGTAAGAGAACACTAAACCATCAGAACCAGTCTCGGATCCGAGACTCTCAGTGCAAATCTCAAGGCTCTTCCTAGACAAAGAGCTTTTCGTCCTCTTAGCGAGAGGATGAATGTAAGGTGGAAGTGACTTAGAGATTTCATCATTAGTCTTCAAAGACATGAGTGAACTCCAAGTATCAAACGAACCACCTTTCTCTTGCTCTTCCTTCTTGTTTCTCTGGATTGAACTCCAAATCTGAAGCCTCTCTCTCTCAGCTTCATCTTCATCATCACCCAACTTAGCTTCTTTGAACTCACCATCATTTTGTCCAAACAGATTCTCAGATGATGAAATCTTCTTGATGGTGTTGGAAGAACCATTATGAGAAAGCCATTTCTTGGAAGACATGTCTGCTGAGAGAGTTCTTCTAAGAGAAGGTGGTGTGAAATTAGTGTCAGTGTTACAGTTCAAAATAGTGACTATCCCTTGCTTTTGATTCAGCACACTGTCTTCTTCTATCTTCATGCTCATACAAATTGACATCTTAAAATTGCACTTAGCTGCATAAACACATTACAAAAAAAACTTCAATATTTTTTAACACAAAAAAGAATCTAACGGTCTATAATTGGCTTAAGCATAGATGTGGTTATAGAGGATAAGTTTTGAAAAGAAAAAGAATTTCAAGTTACAAGAAAGAGTTGGATAACATGCATGTGTTTTGGAAAACACAAAATAAGTGAAGTGAAATGCAAGTCAGTAATTTAACCGACATAAGTTAATATTGTCAGGTTAACCATCGTAAGAGTTCAAAGTCTATTACTCAGGATTGTGTGTGTGAGTTTCAAGTAGTTATTACTACTTCCGCTAAAACAGAAGAAAACTAAAATGTAATGATTACCTTGAAAGAGCAAAGTACAGCAACAAACTCAGAGGTCTCAAGATAGAGACCACTGTGTTGTGAGAATGAGATAATGAAGAATGTAATGAGAGGAATGGTTTGTAGTGAATTGATGATGGGAAGGCAGGATGGGGGAGAATGAGGGTATTTGTAGGGTGCTAAAAGTAATAAAGAACCATGTTCACTGGACCCCACCATGATAATAACCTTCTTTGTTATTGCTCTCCAGATTTTTGTTTTTATTTTTGTTTTTAATTTTATTTTTCTAAATAAAAGAGTTTGTTGTTATCACAAGTATTATTCATAGACACATGTTTGAGATGGATACGAATTTGTTTTGGTAAAGATGTTATCCAAACCAAGTATTTATTGATGGTGGATTTTAATTAGGTAATATAGTTTTTTTTCATCAATAAATTGTATTGCTTGCATTGAAAAATTGGATATTTTTTAAAATAAATTAATTTTATTGAATATCTTGTCAAAGTTATTACAGTGACAGTGGTATCCGATCCATATGGTAATGGTCGCTGTTCTGCTGCAGCATACTGGTAACGTACTGATATGGCAAAAAGATTCTTACTATGCTCTAAGGTTGCAACATAGGCTGATCTTCCATATGAGTGAAGAGTTATTCTTGTTATTAGAATGAGGCTAGGAAAGACAGTGTATATCTATTAATGACCCACCACTAATTTAATTGAACTTGCCTATTGTGTCTTTTACATCTTAAAATATAAATTACAATACACAATACTCTTCACTGAAAAACTGTGTAACTTGGTTAAGTTGGTAGATTATTTGGTGTAAAACCATGACAATGAAATTTGAGATAATGGGAGAAAATTTTCTCCATGGAAATTGAAGATAAGGAAAATTTGTGAAAATATATTTGCATAGGCACAATAGAAGGAAAACCTATAGATATCACTAATGAAAGGTGGAAAAAAATGGATGACACTCTTGTTGCTAGTTAGTAGTGGCTGATTTAGTACTGGCTAGTGTTGTTGAAAAAAATACACCAAATGAGATGTAAGTAGCTTTGATTAAATTTTGTTAGATCAAATCACTTCACAACATAATATTATTATTAAAGAGAAGACTCTATACTTTTTGAATGAGTAAATCCTCTTCGAATGAGTGAATCTGCGTCAATAATATGTTACACGAACACTTTGAATACTTTATTTTCTCAACAAGCAAGTTTAAATTTCATATCCTGAATGTGACTTTATTAGCAGTGAACTAGCAAAGCCTTAGTCTAAGTGTTACGTGAATATGAAATATTTTTTTCTTCGTAGTTTAAGAGTGAACTTATATTCAAGTCCCTTTACTCCTACCATGATAATCTTAGTTGTTATGGTCGTAACACCATTATTGTCATTAACTATTTTTTCTTCTTGTCTGAGCTTGTATAACTTTTATCTGAACCGTTATATGAGTTCTACCTAAGTCACTAAAGCTAAATTAATTTCATGATCCAAGGTCGAGCCGATCTCATGGCCAGATGAATTCACCACCCTTTCATAATGTTATAAATGAACTAGTTTCATTGAGAGAGTGAGTACTCACAACCTATGCTTGCAATATTGTTGATAGTTCATTAAGTTGCACAATGCATCAAGCTTGGTATTTATAGATTACCCAAGCTATCATGGTTAGTTACAATGAATAGGAGTTAGTTAGCTTTTCTAAATAACTTCATCAACTATTTACAACTAACTCAACTTTCCTTTATCATCATGCCCTATATTCTATTAGTCTAATACCCCCCCCCCCCCCCCCCCCCCCCCCCCTTTAACATCATAGTTGAAGCAAGGGTGCAACTTTTAACTTGAATGAATTCTTGAAACACAACATGAGAGAGTGGTTTGGTGAGAGCATCAACAATTTGCATTGTTCCTAGTATGTGTTGTATCATGAGCTTCTTAGCTTCCACTCTTTCACACACAAAGTGAATGTCAGGTTCAATATGCTTTGTCCTTGCATGAAGCACTAAATTGAGTGATACCATTACAACACTGATGTAGTCGCATAGTAGAGTTGGAACTTGATACTCAACATGAAGTTCAGTGAGCAGTGGTTTCAACCATAATATCTCAGAGGTGTTGTGAGCAAGGGCGCGATATTCTGCCTCAAGGCTCGAGCGTGCTACCAACCACTACTTCTTAGACCTCCATGAGATGAGATTAGGACCGAGATACACAAATGCTCCTGATGTAAAACGACTATCATCCGAGCCACTAGCCCAATCTCAATCTCTATAGGCTTGAAGAGACACTTTCTACTTGGAGTCGGCTGGATGGAGAAGAAGTCCATGGTGTAAAGTTCCACTTAGATATTGAAGATTGCGGTTGACTGGACTCCATTAGGATTCCAATGGCTTAGCCATAATTGGAAAATTTTATTGACAATTGTGGTACGGTGGGAGAACTGACTTGGGTGTTTTGCGTTTGATCGCAAATGTTGCGGTTAGCAAGAGTCGCCACTGACTTTTCTTTTATCCAAAAGGAAAGGTGAAAACGCACAGGAAAGACCTTTGAGATTGTTTCTTGAGTTCGGGGGGTAGATCATGAAAAGGGAAGGTATTAGCACCCTTTTCATCCATGGTTTTCCATGGGCTCTTAGTTACTTGCTAGATCACTTGTTTTTGTTTGAAAATGTGCTTTGTGTGGTTTTTGAAAGTATTTTGAAAAGGCGCCATCGTTTAGGAAAACTTTGTAATGATTCTCGTTCGTAAGAATGTATACAAGGTGTTGATCTTTTGAAAATGTTTTCAAGTTTGAAAGGTGTTTTTGAAAGTGTAGGTGATTATTTTTGAAAATAAGCAAGGGTGTTTGTTTTGAGATGGAGCAAGTAATTAGGAGAAATCTACCTACTCAAATGTCTTTCTTGTTCATTTTCTTTTCCTTTGACATTGTTGTCTTACCATTTATTTGGTAAGCAACCCTATCTTTGGATGTAAGCGGGACGGGCGTGGGTCATCGTATAGCCATGATTAGCAATGTTGCAAGGTATCTTAGCATTCTTTTTTGAGGGACTAAGATCATTTGAAAGGCAACTTAGATAGCGTCATCGAGGGACTATGATCTTGTATTTGTTTTTTTCTTCTTCTAAGATACCTCACATGCGTAATATGGCCATTTATAAGGCAACCAAGTGGATTTTACCCTAGGGGTGCTTGTGTGCAAGCGTATTGATTTTCATGCTTGTTTTTGTCTTGAATATGGTTATCTACTTGTTGATTTTATGTCTTGCCATACAAACCCTAGTTACTAGCATTTATATTTGAAAGCAATAAATCGCAGAAATGTAAAGTCCTGCGCTAAAACATATTGAATATTACAACCATATCGAATAACCATGAAGGAAACGTAAAAACAGTGTAAAAAGAAGGAAAAATGCATCTTGAACTATTATGTGTCGACACAAGCTCACATGCATCGACATATAACTTTCCTTGCCCTTGTATTGCCAAATCAACTCAGTATGAGTCGATATATAATGGTATGTGTCGACTCATACGTGCTTTGTGTCGACTCATACATTGTTTTTCCTTCTGTTTTGAGCCTGTAAAGCAGTATGTATCGACTCATAAGGCTATGTGTCGACTCATACTGTCATTTTTCTACTTCAATATTGTTTTGCTGCATACATGGCTTAGTTCTCAACACATAATGAAAAGAATGGAAGATAAACAAAAGGTTAGCTTCAAGGACAATGGTTACTACATTTTTGTCTTCAAAAATGAATTACTAAAGTCAAGAAACTTACCTTGGAGTTGGATCTTTATACTCTGAATTTGAGTTGTTGTCTTGACTGTTATTGAAATTGGAAGAGAAAATAGAGGTGTTGTAGAAGCTTGTTCTTGAGTTTGAACAATTTCTAGGTGATGTATGTGAGGTGCTTAGATGTTTAGACAGAGCTTGAAAGGTGTGAGAGTTCTAAATATTTGGACTTTAAAACTCAAGAGTGGAAGCTTTTTTGGACAGTTATGGTTTTTGATGGCTAGTTTATAACAAGACTTCTGGATTTTCTCTCTATTTTTCTAAACTTTTTCCAACCTCTTTCTCTTGCAAATGCTTCTTCTATTTATAGTCAAGGGGTTTGTGCATATGATCTGATTAGGTTTATAAGACAACATGTTATGGTTTGGTTGAATTGCAAAGATCAAACTAAGTTAAGTACTCCATAGTCCTAAGATGAAGTACCGAAGTTGCTGGTATTGAGGAGCTACTTCCCACGATTTATGGTGAAGTATAATCAGCAACCAACAAGGTATGGGCTCAAGACAAACTTTGTACAAAAATCTTGCTTTTCAAGAATAACAATGATGCCTTTATGCCATAAATGGAAAGATCTTTTGGACAATGGTTTAAACACTTGGGTAATAGCTCAAGAGTGGGTGTAAGCATTAAATTATGATGATATTTGCAAGAAAAGAAGCCTGCAACATAAGATTATGCAGCAAATCATGAGAGTTTTGTTATGTGTTCTTCACTTAGAATGACTTACAATTCAAAGATGGATGGCCAACTTCAAGCCCTTGAATCTCCTAGCTCAAGTATGATAAATTTATGCTCTTTGATGTTTTGGAAAGCTTGAAACATCCTCTATAACTTTAATGTTGTCCATTTTGACAAAATCATCTTGGAACTATGTGAAAAAATGCCAAGAAGTTGGGGTAAAATCCTGACTAAAATCTGTTGAAAATTTCTCTAAGTGTTAAATGAAAATGTCATGACTTCATGAATTTGTAACTTGAGATCCCATCATATTTAGGAGAAGTTGTGTAAAGCAATGTTGTAGATATCATGGAGATCTACAACTTTCATGTTGAAAGTTTCTTTTGAATCATCTTGCATCATGATGAAAGAGTGGCATGAAGTGATGAAATTATTATGTATAAAAACACAAAATTTCTAAGTCTTGGAAATTTTGACTTTTCAAGTTGACTTTTGACTTTCTTGATAATCAAGCTTGATATTATTGCATGTCTTGATGAAATTTGATCTTTGGAATGTAATATTGACCAAAAATTCAAAGTTTGACTTTCTAATATGCAATTGACCATTTTGCCCTTGTGCTAATTCCAAGCCTAAATTGATCTTTGAGTGTTGTAAACTTGACGTCATAGAAGATCTTATGAGAGAATCCTTGAGAAATGAGAGGGCAAATTTTGGAGTACAACAACAATGAAAGCTATGTCAAGCCAAGTTAAGGTCACATATTAAAGGACACCAAATGTTGATCTATAGAAGGTGGGATCAGATATAACATATGTATTATGTTTACTCAACTTGAAATGGCTGAATATATGTGTGTTGACACCATTATCACCTTCCAAGTTTTCCTTGACCAACAAATCTTTAATGTATTTTATTTCAGTGAGAGGGATAATTCTATTATGCTATTCATGTACTTCAATCACTACGCCAAAAAAGACCTAAGAAAGCGCTTTTTTGCCCTTTAGCAACGCTTAAAAGCGCTGCCTATAGTGGCGCTGCCGTAGGTATAGACAACGCTTTTTTTTATGCAAAAGTGCTGCCATATGTATTCTTTAGCAGTGCTTTTCCTTGGAAAAGCGCTTTCTAAGGTAGGCCTCTAGCGGCGCTTTTTCCTGAAAAAACGCTTTCTATTGACCCCGTTTGGACAGCGCTTTCAAAAGCGCTGTCTAATGTATTTTTTAAGGCATCTTTAGGCAACGCTTTTCTAGGAAAAGCGCTTTCTAAAGTAGGCATTTAGCAGCGCTTTTTCCTAAAAAGCGCTTTCATTGCTTCACGTAAATTTAAGCATTTTTTATGTAAAAATGTTGCGTATTCTTTCTTTTTTAGATGACATATTTTTGGGAATAATCCTATAAACCTGTACTTCAAGCCTTACATTTCAACGATCCTTTTTTCAACAAAGAAGTTGTTACATACAAAAAAAAGGCATTATATACCATTATAATACCATTATATACCAAAATATAAACACCATTATAATTCAATTCACATGTTTGTTACTAAGTAGGAGGAGGATGCACTATAATAAAGACAAATTTATGACTATTTTGAACAACAAACTCCAAGAATTTCGTATAAAGGTGATAATACTCAAGTACAACAAAACCTTCTATTCGAATCCGCTTATATATGATATGTGCCAAATTCATTTCAGCCTGAAATCGCCAAAATCTGACGAGCAAACGGTCCTGGTCCTGCAAATAAGATATGAACAGAACAACACGGTCAATTAAACTAACTTGGGTCCAACACAATTAAAAATTTTCATAACAATTTTCAACTTCCAATACCTTATATGATTCTTTTCTGAATAAAGTATTCATACAATTCCTCCTTGATTTCTTCCAATTGATTTTTCGTGTAATGAGCACACTTGCATTCATCAAAGTACTACATAACAAAACATAATATGCATGATTTAGTTAAAAGTAATAAGTTATATGATCCATGTCGTGATTGGAATCTCTATTCGATTCAAAAGAAGGATTTATTTCATAAACCTCAAAACAAAGTATCCACAATCTATACTGTTACGCTGTTGAGCACACTACATAGAAATACAAATAAGAATGTATAGTTGTCTTGTTTTATCAAGTAGCATCACTATTATAAGCAAAATTGTGAAAATTAATGTACCTCCACTTTGAT